TTCTATGCTTTTTTTTGGGTTTTTGTTATTCCTAAATATTTTTCGAATTTTTTTAGCAGATAAGATAACTTCTCTTCCTTAGGAGAATCTGAATCCGAGGACTCTCTATGACTATTCCTCAAAGTATTTAAAGCTAATAACGTATCGTTTGTGGGTTTAGCTAATGTAAGTTCATAAGTCTGGAGAGATCCAACTACTCTTCAATCTTAATGGAATCTAAGTCATTACTCTCCTCTATTGCCGTGACTATAGGTCTAAACTTTACTGGTAGATATCTAAGAATATTTAGTTCATAAGTCTGGAGAGATCCAACAACTCTTCAATCTTAATGGAATCTAAGTCATTACTCTCCTCTATTGCCGTGACTTTATGTCTAATCTTTTCTGGTAGATATCTAAGAATATTTCAGACTATCTTAGGCTCAGGAATTCTCTCACTTAGGTTGAAACTACAATTTACTATATCATTTAAGCACGCATATAAATCATCAAAGGTCTTATTATCTTTCATTCTAATATCTTCAAATCTAGTGGTCAGCATCTACAACTTAGAGTTCTTAACCGCTTGAGTTCCCTCATGTGTGGTCTGTAGAATATCCCAAATCTCTTTGACTACCTCACACATAAACACTAGCCTAAACTCTTCCGGAGATACTGCCATAAATAGAGCATGTAAGCTTTATTGTTCCAATCACATTCATCTAAGTTTGCTCCAGCCCAATTAGCGACAAGGGTAGAGATTACTTCATTATTAACCGTAGAATTAGGTGCAGCTCAACCATTCACAACACTAAGCCAGATATGCTCATCCATGGATTTTAAAAAAGCTCACATCCTAACCTTCTGTAGGCATAATTACTACCATTAAAATTTGGTGGGATGGAAAATGAAGTACTCATCAAGGTAATATGAGTCAAGGAATGAATTTGGGCTCTGATACCAATTGAAACATTCCAGTGTCGCACTGGATACAACTTAACCGTTCATGGATTACCAATTTAACAGCTTTTAAGTTACCAAATGGTAGTTACTTATCCGTTTTTAGTTTTGACTCTATGTTCGGAAGTAATCAATTAAAAATAATAAGTCACTTTTAATTGTTCTAGATGATTAAGTATACAAGTCCAATTATCCTATATTTGAATACCACAGCAATAAGGAAAGCAATAATAAACACCGATATGATGACGGAGATACCCCAACTAGGTAAAACCTTCGGGACCAAACTAGTTATCTCCACTACAAACAATACGGAGTAAGTTACAGTCAGATGCTATCTAGCCAACTCCAGTAGATTTTTCGATTTATTTCCTCCTAACTCCAAGGTCTACTTCAAGACCTGGTCCAAGATAGTTCATAAGTCTGGAGAGATCCAACAACTCTTCAATCTTAATGGAATCTAAGTCATTACTCTCCTCTATTGCCGTGACTTTAGGTCTAAACTTTTCTGGTAGATATCTAAGAATATTTCTGACTATCTTAGGCTCAGGAATTCTCTCACTTAGGTTGAAACTAGAATTTACTATATCATTTAAGCACGCATATAAATCATCAAAGGTCTTATTATCTTTCATTCTAATATCTTCAAATCTAGTGGTCAACATCTACAACTTAGAGTTTTTAACCGCTTGAGTTCCCTCATGTGTGGTCTGTAGAATATCCCAAATCTCTTTGACTATCTCACACATAAACACTCGCCTAAACTCTTCCGGAGATACTGCCATAAATAGAGCATGTAAGCTTTATTGTTCCAATCACATTCATCTAAGTTTGCTGTAGCCCAATTAGCGACAAGGGTAGAGATTACTTCATTATTAACCGTAGAACTAGGTGTAACTCAACGATTTACAACACTAAGCCAGATATGCTCATCCATGGATTTTAAAAAAGCTCACATCCTAACCTTCTATAGGCATAATTACTACCATTAAAATTTGGTGGGATGGAAAATGAAGTACTCATCAAGGTAATATGAGTCAAGGAATGAATTTGGGCTCTAATACCAATTGAAAAATTCCAGTGTCGCACTGGATACAACTTAACCGTTCATGGATTACCAATTTAACAGCTTTTAAGTTACCAAATGGTAGTTACTTATCCATTTTTAGTTTTGACTCTATGTTCGGAAGTAATCAATTAAAAATAATAGGTCACTTTTAATTGTTCTAGATGATTAAGTATACAAGTCCAATTATCCTATATTTGAATACCACAGCAATAAAGAAAGCAATAATAAACACCGATATGATGACGGAGATACCCCAACTAGGTAAAACCTTCGGGACCAAGCTAGTTATCTCCACTACAAACAATACGGAGTAAGTTACAGTCAGATGCTATCTAGCCAACTCCAGTAGATTTTTCGATTTATTTCCTCCTAACTCCAAAGTCTACTTCAAGACCTGGTCCAAGATCTTCTGCAATTGTCTCTTCCAAGTGGAATTCCAAGAACCTGCTCTAAGGTCTTGTGCTCTTCCTACGCTTGTAGTCTAACCTCTGTCAACCTCTAGCAGTTTCTAAAGTTCAACTGAGAAAATACATTCCTATGATCAATAGAAAGTAAGTGGCGTTTCGAATTCAATGAGTTTGATGTTTTTCCCAAATATGTGGTTGTATAAAATTAAGAGTGAAATGATGAATCAATGTATGAATAGGCTGTTGAATATGTTATAGAGAAGAGACACAATTAACAACCACGCTACAATTCATGCATATCTTAGGTATTTATAGGAAATGGTAATTAGGTTGAATGGACAGAAAAAATACTTCAAAACAGCAAATTAGAGCTTTTCGAATTGACCTGTCACTCGAGCGAGAGCTTGACAACAGGTAGGCGGCAAGAATTCTATTTCAGTTGCTCGAGGGCCAACTGGGTGAGAAACTAGAGAAAATGTGGCGATGTGTTTCTCTTCTTTTCATGCTCGAACCTAGACCTCATAACCCAATTTATACAAATTGTACCCTAGGTCCTTGACTTTTACAATACATTACAAATTAATCTTTTTGTCCACAGAATCACCAACACTAAAAACCTAACAATTGCAAACAGTGAAACAATAGTTTCCACACATTGGATGGGATACTAATAATGACCAAATCACTTGAAAGCTTGCTATGATGTGTTCAAGGATGGATTAAGTGGTTTTGTATATGATCAAACTATTTCAACATGACTCGCCTAATGCGAAGTGGGGAACAAACTCAGTGAAGTTTGCATAAAATATACTCGTCTTCTCGTATTAACATAATTTTTCTTTAGTATTTGTTTGGATCAAAATGTGTCTTCTTAGTGTGCTTAATTTATCTTCCATAAAAAGCATTTTTTTTTTTAGATTTTGTAGTCGAACCCAAAGGTTGCAGAATGGAAGAACAAGCGCGTATATAATTTACAACTAGTTTGTGAGCTTTTTGCAAAAGATAGGACCAATGGGGACGGATTTGATACCCTTAGGGAGATTAAGAGGAAAATAATTCATTTAGCTCAAAAAGTGAAGTTACATTGGATGCTGTTAATGTTGAAGCAAATAAGAATGATTTAAGTTCTCTAGATTGTCAATTTGGAGTTGGCAAAGCATATAAAAGTGCAAGAGTAGATGTATGGTTAGTAAGGATAACAACTCATTCAAAGAGGCTGTCGGTGCAATGGAAATGGCAGCATATCGTATAGCTAAAGTGTCATTGCAATGTGCAAAACCATTTTCTTCCAAGGACAATGATTTGTTGGATAATTTAGTTGAGATTGTGGTTCAAGATGATGATGAGTTTCTTAATGCTAAGAGTTTCCTTCTTGAAAATCCTACAAAGTTGAAGGTATTCTACTTGCAATCTTGAATAGTGAATTAATCAACATTATAACCTTCAATACATGATGTCAAACATCATACAAATGTTGCGAACAATTTTATTAATAATTAAAATATAAGTTGTATCACATTATGCTTCTCTAAGCAAGTACTCAACTTATTTTAACGCAGTTGCAAAAAGTCCCCCATCTCTTACTAAATACTACAAAATTCTACAAATGTTGCGGGACTCATGCAAATCAAATATAGTCCACTTGGTCCCGCAACACGTTGAATTACTTCATCTCGTACTCAATTCACTTTACAAACGTATTGCACGATTGATTCGATTCACACGTGAACTAGTTTGTGCAGTGGGCTGCTGCGCTAATACAAGTCCATGTAGTAGGAGAAACATCATATGGATATGATGTACACATTTGGAGGTGTACATGATAAGATCATCATTATCGAAACCGTGACGGTTGGCCGGGTAACATTACAAAATTGTAAAGATAAATGACTACAAAAAAAATTCACCAATTAGAAGCGAAAATTGTATACAATTAGTAACAATGAATCTACAGAAACATGCATTTGGATATTTAATTTAAATGGCAAATTTGTCTCTCCGGAATTCTTTCAAACAGTTGGTGAGAAAACATCATGCATTTGCACGGGTGACTCGACGGACCGATAACTACAAAAAAATCGTAACGACGAAAAATCTTATTTTTTGAATTTGAATTATCCATATAACCAAAATTTAGAATACACCATAACCAGATATATTGTATTATAGGGGTAAGTTGGTATTCAAAAACATCTTAGTGCTATCTGATTTTGCCCTTGTGTCAACCATTCTAATTTAATAATTTCGTTAATCAATGAACAAACTATTTTCAATGCATTCATATCTTTTGTAAGTTTCTTTATTTGTTTTACCGTCCTAAGATCGTGATAGTAGTTTTTACATTTAGACCCTTGAGTAGCAGGAAAGTAGTTTAGCGGAGCAAATTAGTGTCGAATGATACCTCTTTGTGCTACCAAGAAGGTGCCCAAATGAAAACGGATGCATGTTTAAAAATAATAATTATTATCTTTTATTGAAAAAACAAGCATACACTTTACAAGGCACATAAAATCAAGAGATGGCATATCTGAACTCAACTATTTGACTTCCTAGAAAATGCTTATTGATACTTAACTGCTAAAATACTCAAACCAAGTTAATCACATTAGCAAGCCTCTCTTGAAGAACGGATAGATCAATGCCAGCCGTTAGATCACCAGCCTGCAAAAAATGATCAAATACAAGAGTTGAGATCATAACCATGAAATTGACACTAATTAACATCAATATTCCTATGTTAATTTGTTACCTCAATCTGGATTCTATATATTGACTTCTCATTTGCTTTTGTAGATTCACAGCTAATGACATTTAGTCCCATCTCAAGCAATTCTTGAAGCACCCTCGAGAGATGGAACCCTTCTGGTTTAAGGCTACTGCAGATTAGAATCTCCATACCATCCCTGAAAGGGTTCACCACTATACCATGAGTCGAAACAACACTCGAGCTTCCATTCTTAGAATCAATGGTGCTCTTAGATGAGTTCTTTAGCTTGTCCCTTCGCGAACTAAGTTCTTCGATGTTAGTTTGCACGTGCTTTATGTAATTCGCAGCCTCGTGCATGTGATCGGATATTGAGCGTTTTCCCTAGAACACCACGAATATCACATCAGATACAAGTTAACAGAGAAAAATGACAATATTGTCGAGTATTGGCTAATCCACTTATAAAACGTGCCAAAGTGAATTTTTTTTTTAACGATATATAGACATGTACCTTGATGAATTCGAGAGGAAGAAGGGATCGAAGTGAAGCACAAAGTTTTTTCATTTCTTGCCTTCTCTGCTTTTCGACCTCTCTATGCACAACTTTCTTATTCTTGATTTCACTGCCATTCACATCCTTGTTTTCTTGAACACTTGCAGATGATTTTCTTTGCCTCTTTCTTGTATCACTATTAGTACTATTAGCGCCACTTTCGCTCAACAAAACATGATCTGCAAGCAGCTCTTCGAGGACTTTATCATCTTCGAAAATCGAAGGGTCGGGAAAGACCAGCTCATTGCTTTGTTGTGTAGGAAACATCTCAGAAAAATTTCTTCGAGATTCTCCAACCCTCTTTCATGGAGTTTCTGGAAAAAAGAAATGTGTATAAATGTAAATACCTGCGCGCAGAGAGAGAGAGAGAGAGAGAGAGTCCACTTTTCTACGAGGAAACACTGTTAAACAATGCCACGTGGATTTGAGTGTGCCCTCTTACTACAATATTCAACACCAAAATTCTGTATTAAGACTTATATAGAGTAAGTAGGACCAGTCTACCAAAGCGACAGTAATATATCATGTTACAGACTGTGTTTGATGGATATTATTTTGGAAAAATGTATTTTGGAATAGTAGATTGATGGAGAATGTGTGATTGAAAAAGAAGGAAAAGTTATTGATGTGATGGAAAATATTATTTTAACGAAGAATGTATGGTTAAAAATGAGTAGAAGAATGTGAATGAAAATTTTAATAAATACCAAACACATCCTCATTGGGGCACAAGAAATTCTAAGTTTAAACTTATTTTAATCTAATTATTATTATTATTATTAGCACATGTATTTTAACTTTATCACTGATGATTGATCCATTAATGAATGTTTGTCGGATATGGAAGAGATTTCCTTTCTCTTTTTTTTTAATCGATTATTATATTTGTTAGTGTGTGTAAACCCACACTGTTGAGCATAATTCGGACCGTTAATAATCCAAAAATGGATCGTTGCTTTTTTTTTTTTTTTATTATTATTCAACTTAATCTGATAAGAAGTCAGGTCATAAAATGAGATTTTCCCGATCTACCCCCTCATTACATGCCTCACACTATAAATAATAGAGGTGTGAGAAATAAGCAGCCTGAAGGAGAAAATGGTAATTCAGTGCCAAAAATTTATTATTACCGTGCAAGGGAAAGCAACCAGTGGGCTCGGGAATTTGACATGAAAATTGATTTTTGATTTTAAAAGTGCGCCGAGACACCCTCTAAATGTAAGAGGAAAACAAGAAAATATACACACGTTTGCTAAATGGGATCTTCAGAATCCTGTTGACGGTGGAAATTTTGCTCACTAAGCTTGCTTACAAGTTGATTGAGACAAAAAAGATTTATAAAGGCATAAATAATTGACAATTTTTTAACCATTACACACGTGATTTTAACTAAAACATGACTTATTTTTTTATTTTTTTTAATAGAAGCTACAATAAATTCATTTAGGAGAGATTGTGATTCGTGTTTTGAAATTAAATACGCACCTACCCGAAAGCTAGCTACTCAAACAAGTTGTCAAAAAATTAAACGAGTGATCTGCTTCAACCAGTTTCCGGGGTGAACCGATCAGTTCACAGCTTCTTTTATTAAATTTTACGTTTTCAATTTATCTTATGTAATCGGACTTGAATTTTTGACATGTTGCCAGTTTTCTTGGTCTCGTCCAGTCTTACAGCATCTTCGAAAGACTCTTTAAACATGAAATACTCTCAATTTTAAAGAGCCAACCTTTAAAATCATAATTTAAGAGACTCTTTAAATTAATATTTGAATTTAGAGAATCTCACTTTCTATAATTAAATGCAGTCAAGGTGTTTTAATTTTCAAAGTAAGAAAATAATAAAATAAAATATAAAAAGCTAGTTAAAATAAAATATAAAGAAAATAATAAATCTTTTTTAGGAGTAGTAAAATTAATTGTTAAATATAAAAAGTTCATTAAAGTACTTCAAAATTTTAACTCTCGAAATTTATAAATACTCTCCAAAATATACTCTTTAAAAAATAGAGAATCTCTTATAAATGCTTATGAATATGAAAAGTTTAATGAGTTGATAATGGACTTAGAGAAAATTTGGTACGTTAAATATTCATTAGTCAATAGAATTAAGAAAAATAAGACTGTTATTCAATCGAACTTATACCAAACATTTGCTATTTTTTGACGTATCTTGTCGAGATGAGAGAGTACTCATTAAATATAAAAATAATCCACAATCAAGAAATAGGACATGATAGTGAGTGCTCTAAATTAAATTTTATTAGAGTAATAATGCAAAAGATAATGAAATCATGCCCTTTATATTAGGATATTAGAAAATGGTTCTTTTCGTATAGTAACTATGATGTCTATGTGATGGAGGTAGAAAAGACCACTTTTTTTCCACTTGTTGTATTTTATTTTATTTATTTAGAATGTGTTAAAATCTGGTTAATTAAAAAGTAATGTAATTATCAGTTAATAAAACATGTTTTTATGGTAAATAGTACAAGAAATCAAGAAAAGCATATAAAATGTAAAATTGCATTCAATGCACTATGATTTTATTTAAAGATATCTAAGCTGCAATGATTGAATTATGCTAATTTGAATATAATCAACTAGTTGGGCAAAATAAAATAAAACAAGCAACTAAAGGAATTAAAAAGCAACAATGGACATAAAACGCCTTCTGGGAATGAATTGGAGGGATCCTTGTGTATGCAATTAGCTAAGGGCATGTTCTCTTTATTACAATGAAAACCAAAAATGAATCGTTTTGGGTATTTTCATTTATAACGAAACCAAAATTTTCAAAACGCGTTTTGGGTGTTTTCGATTAAGTCACCAACAACCACGGCCAATGCCACCTGCACCATACCGCTACCGTCGCACCACCACAACCACTGCTAGCGACGTCATAACCACCACAACAGAAGAAGCCGGAGACGCCACCACCTAAAACCACCATAGCAGAAGAAGCCCACAACGCCACCGCCCAAAAACACTGCACGCCACCAAGCCCAAAAACACCACACACCGTACACCACCCAAAAATAGAGAGAGACGACAGAGAGGAGAGACAATAGAGAGAGGGAAAGAAGAGAGAACAAATTTTGGGTGTTTTCATTTTTGAAAATAATTTTTCAAAATAACAAAAAGAATACATTTTTAACAATCTCAAAATGAACACTCAAAATACAAAAGTAAAAATGAATTCAAAACTCAAAACTGAAACACGAATAGAACAACCCCTAAGAGATTTGGAATTGGTGGAAACAGAGTTTTAAAATTTCGAGCGATTTGATAAGTGTATTTTATGCATTTATTCGGGCTTCTATTCTTATTTATTGATATGTAAATTTAGTGATTATCTACTTAATTTGTGTAAATTATGTTAATTATAGAAAAAAATTCCAACTTGAATACAATTGATGTGAAAAAAGGTTATTTATAACTTAATTGGAGTTGATTCAAAACAATTGCAAATTAATTCAATTGCAACTGATCAATTGAAAGTATTAATGAAGCATTCAGTAAAAATTCATAAGTTACGCAAGTTAAATTCAATATTTAGAAAGTTTGGGGATTAAATTGCAAACTTTCGAAACTTGCTACGGTCAATTAATAATAATTTTGGGATAAAGAAGTTTCTTTATCAAGATAATTACCAACGAACACTAGCCTTTAGCAAAAACTAAGAATAACCATACAACAAAATCTGGACTTCAATGGAAGAACCACCAAGAGCTAGCTTTGGGTGAACAAGAGCTTAGAGCTAGCATCTGGCCTCAGCAATTGAAATTATCACGAGCTTGGGCATAGAGGACTTGTAGACACTTTAAATAAACAAGGACTTACCACTGACCTATATCTAACCTTCACGCACAATAATCTCAAGCTGAGGTTCGGAGTACAGCTTGACCTTAAAGGCTCCCCAAAGCTCGCCCCAACATCTGTGAATTATGGGAAAAGATCTGGAAGACTTATGGTCCATTGAGGCAACATTAATGATAATAAAGAGTTAATGCACTTAGGTTTTGCAGACACCTTGATCATTAAGGACTTACAATTGACCTGGCTTGAACAATCGAGAATCATTAGTCGAAGCTTGGGAGACTTTCGGACTACCGAGGCCTTGTAACATTTTTCTGAATCATTGGTTTGCCAAATTTGAGGCGAACACTTGTTTGAAGAGCTTGGATGTGAAACCTATCACGATCCGATCGGATATATTGGGATTGACATGATAGGTTGTGAAGACTGATTATCTTGGAAAATGTAATTACCATTTGTAATTGGAATAAAACCACTTGCTCAAACTAAAAAACAGATACAATACAAACGGACTAACTTGGTAGTGTATGTGTGAATTTTTTTTTTTTTTCCAAACTGTCCACTTATGTATGGACGCGTGTCCTTTCTATTTTTGAATATGTGCTTGAGCCTGATCATGTAGCATGAATTTTGAAATTGCAACCGCCCTCAGGGCACATCTCCAAGTGGTAAAAGAGGAAGGTGGAAAAACTCCAGATTTGCTTGAGGCTGTCGCGTCAAATGTTCGAATCCTGAAATATGGATTTTGCCATTGGGTAAGTGCAAGTGTATAAGCAGTCTTCCATTCTATACCCTTGGAAGCATAATCTGCGATTTACCTCCTTCACCAAAACTCAGGGCAGGGCAGGTGGGGACCGCTAAGGATGCGGTTCATCCTTTAATTTTGTAATTGCAACCATGAAATCATTAATCAGTTGACTCAAGACCCATTTCACAAGTAATAATGATGACAATTAAATTAGTGCCTTGGAAAATGCTAAAATAGGTGTAACGGCAGATGAGGCATGTGAAACGTCTCGAACACTCAGTTTTTGATCTGAAGGTTGGCATCTCGGGTGTAATGCCAATAAATTGAAATATGCTGTTGAAATTTTTATTTGCAATTAATGCATGATACTTTTTTTCCTCGTTTCCGGTCCGTCCTTTGTTATTCGAAAACCTCTTCCTACAAGTAGAAGTTGGTACCCAGAATAAATATGGAGGTGATTAAGGAAAAAAAAATTTACTTTTTAGAGTCAATGATTAAGCTTTCTACCCAAATTTTGGCAGGGATTCCCTCTTTTTGGGTATGTTTAGGAGCCAAATTGTTTATAGAAAAGGAATTAGATAGAGAACCCGGCGTAAGTTTAGCTGGAAGGTGCTTCACAATAAGAGAATATTTTGAATTTTTGAATATGACGAACCCTATTTTTCTTTGTATCAGAGGCTTATTTTTTAGAGTGAAAGTTT